TAGTAATCGGATTTTTTTAAAGATATCTGAGCGTTCGTTAACTGTACAATGCTTACAACAAACACGTTTACACACACACACGAGTCAAAGTCAAGTGTACTTACACAGCAGTGTAAATTCACACACGCTTACAAGCGATACCATTTCGATTATCAATAAAAGTGTATGACAGTAATCGTAATAATTTTCGTGGATTCAATTAAACAAATCACCTTGATTGTTCTGACGCGCTCATATCAACACAAGTACTTAAATATTTTTTTTATAAAACAAAGACAGTACAGTATACATTTGCACCTCAAAGTCCAAATCACAATTTTAATACTGCATTTCCCTGGTAACGTATTTTAACTGGCAGCATTTTTCAGGACATTGCAGGGTGAATATTAGCCAATGAATGCGAATTATGCGGTGAGATGAATATATGTATTCGGGCTTCAGCTCAATGGCAACATTATCAAAGCTCTGTTGCTAGATATGCAGATTGTAAATTCCAAAAACAACAATTGAATTTAAAGTTCATAAAATGCAAAGTCGAGGACTTCGTCTTTCATCAATGCAACATCATTCCACACGACCCCACCCACCACTTGTGTGCTGGTGTCATTGAAACACTGCCCAGCTTGGAGCGTATATAAGCTGGGTTGGAGGTGGAAGAAGAGCGCCTTGACAAAATAATTTGCATATCAAGAGGAATTTCGCACATTTATGGGAAATGCGTAGGAGGTGGGCGGGGGGGTTTCAAAGTCATAATATGCCCATGAATTATGCAGGATTAGCAGCATCAAAGGGAGGGGGTAGGGGTAGCATTCACAAAGGGAGGGAATGTTAATAGTATGTAGAAGCAATGAAATATGTCAATGGGAGAGCGGTGGTAGGAGACCCGCAGCGGAGCAAATAATGCATTCCCTGTGGAGAACACAAGATACACAGTCAATGCCAGTGAGTGGACTGCGGTCTGAAAGTCACCGTAAACGTGAACAACAATCAGTTAAAATCCGAAATGGTTTAGTACATCCTTCCAATGATTGCTGAGCCAGAATCCATCTTCTCGGTTGAAATTGTCTCTGTGTTTGTATATGTGGATCGCCTCATGAACGAATCTCTCATGGTAGCCAGATGGCTTGCAGATAACCTCTGTCTTGGAGAAGTCAATGTCATGTGAGCCCACTGAATTGTAACAGTGATCTGCCACGGCTGAGGTGTTTGTCCTACCGCTTTCTAGAAGCACCCTGATCAACACGAGTGTCCTTAAATGTATTTATAAAACAAAGTCAGTACAGTATACATTTGCACCTCTTAGTCAAAATCAAACTGGACAGCATTTTGATACTTCAGACTGTACGTCGTTGTTTAACCTGCAGCAGTTTAGAGGGCATTGTCGGGTGAATATTAGCAAATTCACAGGAAGCACGGAATTATGCATGGAGATGTATGTAATTATTCAAACAGAAGTGTACAATTACGCAGTATAATGTACATATGTATTAGGGTTAAATTACAATGGCCAGATTGGCTAAGCTATGTTGCTACATATGCGGATTGTTAATGTATAAATTAACACTTGAATGCAAAGTCCATGATAGGCCAGGACGAGAACAAAGGATTTGTATGCTAGAGGGGAGTTATAAGGGGCTTGAAATCAGACCTCAAGACCATTTCGAGAGGAATTTCACTGAGGATAGACGCGCAACTCCTCGCTCTGCAGATTACCCTTCTCCTGCGAGACCAGCCTGGCGATCTCTTGAGACGGGTTACAGGGACATCGACACGCCGTGCATCAACAAGTGGTTAAGTGTTGAGCTAAAGTTGGAGAAATACTGTGATTACAACTTTGCTAAATATTTTAAACACGTTCTTTATTTTTTTATCATTGTGTAATAAATAAAATAACTTAAAGTAATAGGTTTCAGAGTGTGCGTGGATTGCACGTTCGTTGTTCTTGTGTTTGATGGCTTGGACTTCTGGACGAATGGCTTCAGTCGAAAAGGACGTCAAAGGGGAAATCGACGTTTACGTGTTTGATTTTAAGAATATCTTTTAACTGTTGAATTCCTATTGGGAAATAATTTGCCTAGTTCCTTTCCTGTTTGAGCCTGCGTATTAATAAAGATGTCGATACGAGTATTAACGTGAATTTTCTTGCAGATTAATAAAGACCTGAATTGTTTTTAAAGATGACTGATCGTACGTTATTGCGACCATGTTTCCTTTAAAAAACACGGACGAGTAGACATACACACACGAGTGTACATCCAAACAAGACTGTATATACAGCGGTGTGCATTCACACACGAGTGTGCATGTGTTTCTACGAGTTTTAACGGCAATATAATTACAGAACAATAAAGACCTGATAGGTTAAAGATGACTGATCGTCCCTTATTGCTACAATGTTCTTAGCGAACACGTGTGGAGGCGAGTTTCAGGTGAAGCATCTCCATCACACAAGTTGACCCTTACCTGGCAGCATCGTGGCAGTCCGCTGGTCACACTCACCACGTCACACTCATGACGTCACACGCACGAGCTGTAGGGGCGGGGCTCTGTCTGCTCAGTGGCGCTGTTTTCATTCATTTAGCACCACGAGCGGCGTCATCTGGTCCAACCCGTATGAGACTAGGCTCGAAGGAAAGCTGTCTCGGGTGTGGACCAATCAACTTCAAGGACAGTGCACATTATCAGAGTTATGTCTTTTGTTTGTATTTATGACTGCAGGTATTGCGGTCTATGCAAACATGACTCCTTGCAAAAAGGTGTCAGTTTTGTTGCCAGATAGAAGGGTAAAGAACCAATTATCACACTCCCTGTTGTTTGGCATTCCCCTGCCCACGAGTAAAGTTCTGTAAAAACAACCCCCTACCTCATCAGCGGTGCAGGGCGGTAAAGCTGTGGTCAATGTGAGCAATGTCCGAGAGGGAAGGCTCATAGACATCACAGAGGCCCACGAGGTCTCCGGACTGTTGCGATGGGCTGGTAACCCCTCCACATTCAATGCACTTACCGTGAGAACACGTGGTAAATAAAAACACACACATCACTGTACATACACATCAGTGTAAATACACACTGCTATAGACTGATGATGGTTATAATAATAAACAACACTTACAAACTATACCATCCAGATGGGTATCCAGAGCAATTGTAACCGTTTTAATTGATCGAATATAACAAATAACCTTCGTTGTTTAGACACACCATCAACAAGAGTCCTTAAAAATATCCATAAAATCAAGTCACCACGCTATAAAGCATGCACCTCTTAGAATATCTCCATCAGCATTGCAACATTTTATACTTATATTCATAGTCGATAAATTGATCACAGTTTACAGGCCATTGTAAATGTGCAAACTAACAACATGTACATACCACCCCCCAATGTCCTCTAAACTGCTGCAAGTTTAGAGGATTATAAAGCGACATAGAGCCTGAAATATCAAAAATTGGTGATCTCGAGCTTGATTTGGAATAAAATGTGCAAGTTTATACTGTACTGACTTTGTTTTATAAATATATTTAATGACAATCGTGTTGAGCGGGGTGCTTCTAGAAAACGAGTGTTTTATATTAAAAAACTCTGCCATGAACTTTGAATAATCATCTGAATGGTTTAGCTTGTAAGCGTGGTTTATTATAATGTCCATATTAAAGGTTTTTTGGGTTAGATCGCTTAAATATACAAATGTGTCGTTGAAACCCACTACCACCCGACAAAGCCAACTAGTTAGGGTTGTCACGTAAACAGAACATGCATATTAGTCACTAGTACAGCACACCGGTGTGTTGGAGAGCCAAGCCACAACATTTACAATGTGAGTACGACCTTTCGTCTGTAATTAAAACTAGCTTCATCAGTCAACAGTCAGATTTGGGAAGTCTCACTGGCCCCTACAGCTCGTGAGTGTGACGTCATGAGTGTGACCAGCGGACTGCCACGATGCTGCCAGGTAAGGGTAAACTTGTGTGATGGAGATGCTTCACCTGAAACTCGCCTCCACACGTGTTCGCTATGAACATTGTAGCAATAAGGGACGATTAGTCATCTTTAACATGTCAGGTCTTTATTGTTCTGCAAGTATATTAACGTTAAAACTCGTAGAAACACATGCACACTCGTGTGTGAATGCACACCGCTGTATATACAGTCGTGTTTGGATGCACACTCGTGTGTGTATGTCAACTCGTCCGTGTTTTTTAAAGGAAACATGGTAGCAATAACGTACGATCAGTCATCTTCAAAAACAAATCAGGTCTTTATTAATTTGCAAGAAAACTCACGTTAATACTCGTGTAATAACAGCCATAGAGGGTTCACGTGGGGATTGGCTTGCCAATCCTGCTTTGTAGCCAATAAGGGTTGAGATAGGGAGCATGGCCCCGGCGTGATCACGGCATGTCATCAGGAGTGATTGGCCCAGCCATTCGGGGCCCCAGCTAATGGGAAGCCGGATGAGAGGCGTGGTCCCGGGATTGACAGGGAACCATCGAGAATGGTCGAGGCTGTCCATGAAGGATTGGCCGGGGGGACCACGTGACGGAGGGATTAAGAGGGAGTGAGAGAGAACGATCGAGAGCAGACTGGGGAACGAGCAGAGCGAGATGCCACGCGCGTACGGGGGCTCTGGGTGCCACGTGCGCGGTGGGAACTGGTGTGAAGTCTGCCCGCTCTCTGTTGTCTGCCAGCAACGGAGCGTGTGTGAGTAAAGTGTATTGTGGTGAAAATAAAGAGGACCGATTCCGAAGCCATCTCAGAAGGATTATTACACTCGTATCGACATCTTTATTAATACGCTTGCTCAAACAGGAAAGGAACTAGGCAAATTATTTCCCAATAGGAATTCAACAGTTAAAAGATATTCTTAAAATCAAACTTAGGATGGCTCTCTTTTCATGTTCACGGAGAATCACTACAAATCCTTTGTTCTTCCCCAACATACAGGGTGCACCATCAGTACAGACAGAAATAAGTTTATCCATCGGTAGTTTTTTTTATTTAGCAAACTCCATGAAAGACGTGAATAAATCCTCTCCTCTTGTTGTCCCTTTCATTGGCAAAACAGCCAAGCTTTCCTCACGCAGTGTGTCACCTGCAGCATACCTGGCAATTATACTGAACTCAGATAGATGGCTAACGTCTGTTGACTCATCTAACGCGAGAGAAAAGTATGTCCCGGCGTTTATGTCCTTAATTTGTGTTTCCTCGACTTGATTTGCCATCATGATGCTACGATCGTGAACAGTTCTTGCTGACAGAGGCATGTCTTTTATTCGTTTGATTATCTTGTCTTTATTTGGGAAGTCATCAAACAGTTCATTGGCCACATCAAGCATGAATGTTTTGGCATACTCGCCATCTGTGAATGGCTTTCCATTCCTTACTATTGCCAAAGCACCCGCAAAGCTAGCGGAATTCCCGTCACCTTGCTTGGTCCACACACGTAGTTGCTGCTGACTCGTCTGCACTCTCCGCTGTAGCTCTTCGCATGCCTTTTTCCTGCTGTCCCCCGCTGGATATTTCGATGCAAATGAAGCATGGTGCGTATCGAAGTGCCGCTTTATATTTGACCGTTTCATCAATGCAATTTTATCATTGCATATTAGACATACCGCAGATCCTGCTCTCTCCACAAATGCAAATTCCTCTGCCCACGCAGCCTGGAATGCACGGTAATCATTGTCTTTTTTATTTTCGCCATCTTTTCCGTTACAAGGGTTGAAGCGGATAAACTAGTTGGCTATCTGATCAAATGGATTTCTACACCTTTACAATAACCCGTCACATGCTCGCGAGCCATTGGTTCCCGACCCGACCCACGGGTCACGGGTCACAGGGCCCGTGACCCGTGAAATTTATCTTCAAAACTAATTTCTGTTTACTTTAAAATGACACAGTATTATTAAGCAATATCACAAGTATTTAAAAATCAGTTCCAAACTGATTTTTTAAAATTATTATTATTTTTTTCAACTCAAAATTGTCTGGGAGCCATATGCCGTCACCGGAAGAGCCATATATGGCTCGCGAGCCATAGGTTCCCGACCGCTGGTGTAGTGTATAGTGTAGTGTATAGTGTAGTGTATAGTGTAGTGTATAGTAGTGTAGTGTATAGTGTAGTGTATAGTAGTGTATAGTGTAGTGTATAGTAGTGTATAGTAGTGTATAGTGTAGTGTATAGTAATGTATGGTAATGTATAGTAGTGTATTGTAGTGTATAGTGTAGTGTATAGTGTAGTGTATAGTGTAGTGTATAGTTTGTTGATGGCTCGTGTGAGATGAATAAGCGGTAGAGTTTGGAGAGCTATAGACATACAGATTAGTGGTCACAAGCACACACATGTTACATGACCCGCCAGCACATGTCAGCTTTCTTTTACGTGGCTCTGGAAAATGTGGCTGAAGATCCCCCGCTCGAGAGTGGATTGGCAGCAAGGTGGCTCTGCACGACGCGAGGAAGCAGCAAGGTTGGACTGGACAACCCTCGAGACTTTAATTGCATTTCAGGGCGAGCCACAGGTGCCACGATCGCACGTGGGCACTCGGTCAGTCGCGACGAAACCTACAGATCACATTCATTTAAGCAACACACAAGGTACACAGCAAATGCCACTTGTACGCAGTTAGTGCTTCGCTTTGGGCCAGTTCATTAGCAGACAACCGCTGGAGTAATTTTGAACTTTGCTCTTAACATCCCCGAGTGATTTCACTGTGCCACGTGCTGCTATTCTGCGCGCAGTAGCGAAGCTGCCTTGTCAACGATGAGAGGCGACTCCTCGCACCGATGATGGCGATGGCGGAGGCGATTGGATTCGTAGCCGGATCAAGCGGTGCCAGTCCCCCTTTATACCGCGTCGACTCGTGTCGTCGCCGAGACTCCGCGAGCATCCACTACACACCACTCTCCACCTCCGCCACCGTCACGTCGAACAAAGACAGGTCCACGACGCCGCGCTCCACATCGACGTCGATCGGCGCAAACAGCCGACCGGCCAGGACCTCCGACCTCAGGTACGAGGTCCTCTGACGGCAGACGGTGCCCGAGCCCTCGCAGGTGGCCTGCAGGAACAAGGCGAGCTCCACGTGCTCGTCCGGCCACCTCGGCTCTCGCAGCAGCAGTGGCAGCAGGGGGCTGTCGGGGCCCAGCTCGTGGTGGAAGGTCAGCGGGAAGAGGAAGTAGGGCCAGGGCCGGGCCCCCAGCTGGTCCGGCCAGAAGTCGACGGCGCTCTGGCGGAGAGGCCGGCCCGGCCGCGAGCGGTAGAGCACGGCCGACACGGCCACGTCCAGCAGCGCCGACGGGCGCAGGTTGGCGACGCGGAACGCGAGGCGGCGGCGGCGTCGCTCCCCGCCGCAGCCCCCCCAACACACCACCGCCACGTCGCTGAAGCGGATGGTGCCCGTGTGCGGCTTGGGCCGCGCCATCTTGGCCACGAACGCTCCTGGGGGCGGCACGGGGGCGGCTCGGCCGCCGGGGTCAATTAATAATTGTCGCGCGCACAGCGCGTCCCAAGAGACCCGGGAGGGTCCCGCTACGTCGGGATGTTGGGCTGAGGGGGGCCGCATTCACCCAATGAAGCCAAACTGCGATTGTGCTCAACACCGACCTGAAGCTTTCGTCTCCGCTCAGTTTCTCATCATCTCCACTCTCGCGAGCACCGCTTAGTTTCACTTGTCAAACGTCACAACTTGACCACTACCCCCGAGGGCGCTCTCGGTGCCAAACCACGAGACCGAGAAGCCGTTGGGGACTCGCACTCCCGTCGTAGGTCGCTCACAAACTTGGGAGACGGTGACCTCTTGATGAGGTTTATCCAAATGTATTCTGATAGTGACCCTAAGAAAAGCGGACCACAAAGCAGTTCTACAGGAACCGTGGACGGTTTCTGCCTAATGCACAGAGGCCGAGTGCCTGTTGTGCGCGTTGTAGGTGACCTGCGTCTATCCTCGCATCACTAGCATTGAAACGGGCGTTTTACTTCCCCCCCCCCCCCCCCCGCCAACCCCCATGAATCCGGCGGCCACGTGGCGCGGAAACTCAGAGGAGCCCCCCACGTGTCCGGGCACGGCTCTAGCCACGGGCGGGGGGGGGGGGGGGGGGCTGCTCCGGACGCCGAATCCACGGGGAGGAGGAGGAGAGCAAAGCCACAACATTTACAAGGGGAGTGTGACGCTTCGCCAGTAATTACAAATTAGCGTCGTCGAGTGGACGGCCAAGATTTGTCGAGAAATCCGTCCCGTTTCGTTCCTTGGAGGGATAGATGCGACGACGTCACACGCCGCGAGCCCTTCGCGTGCGAAGAGGGGAAAGTAACGAATGCACGCAGATTACAATGGGCGGCCATTGCTGGTCGGGTCACTCGAGGTAATCAACGTGAACTAGCTCAGATCCACTGCTGGATTATATGTTTCCCGCCCGAGGACGGCCGCTTGTGTTGACTTTACCGAAAGAACCAAAGGGGTGTGGATTCCAGCAGTCACGAAAGCTTCAAATCACATCGTGCTCATTGATATTCTTGGGTCAATGGGTAAAGTCACGTAGATAGGCTCAAAGAAAATAACAAAAAACAACAAAAAACGACGACGCTTCGATCGCAACACAAGATGAAACGTCCCGTAGACCCAAGCTTATTAATTGCTACAGTCACGGAAGCTTGAGGTCAAGATGCTCATTTCTGGCCAACCCTCACATCAACTGTGTCGCTCATCTCCAGGAGAGGTCCCGAGTGGCAACGTGCGCGCAAGGAGTCCCGCTGGGATCGGCTCAGCAGCCGCCCCCCGCTCCACGGGGCCACACACACGGCTGACAGAGGAGCGCTTTGAACGTTGGCAGGAAAGCTTCATCAGAGGACTGCATCCCGCGCGAATGTGAGGGAGCGTGCGAGAGACTGTGGGAGCCCGTGCCTGCGATGGACGCTGGAATTCGGAAGCCACGGAGGAGTGCGATTATAGCCACGCAACCCCCAACGGTGCGGGTCGCGGTGGCAGTAAAACCACCACGGTAGCGGAGTATGGGCAGCAAAACGACGGCAACTCTGTCTGTGCCACACTCCCTCCTCCCGCTCACACCGCCGCGTCTCACTCGCTCACACGCACGCTGAGACAAATGTCCTCGGTGTAACCGTAGTCAACTTGTGGGGCGAGTGCTGTTTGCGAGCACATACGAAGGAGGAGCACGAAGGGATGGATGGCCAGCACCACACCCGTCAGCCTCCGTCTCCTCGGTGGCGATATTCACACACGTGGAGTGGTGGTGGTGATGTTCACACACGTGGTGTGGTGGCGATGTTCACACACGTGGAGTGGTGGTGGGGATGTTCACACACGTGGTGTGGTGGTGGTGGTGTTTACACACGTGGTGTGGTGGTGGTGGTGTTTACACACTATCTCTAACACACACACACTGTCTCGAACACACACACACTAACACACACACGCACTGTCTCTCACACACTAACACACACACTAACACACACACACTAACACACACACACTGTCTCTAACACACACACTAACACACACTAACACACACTAACACACTCTAACACACACTAACACACTAACACACACACTAACACACACTAACACACACACACTAACACACACACACACTAACACACACACACACTAACACACACTAACACACACTGCCTCTCTCACCGGTCATGAACGCGTCCAGCATGAGTCCCAGCACCATGTGCGTGCCCAGCAGCGCGGCGGCCGCGGGGCACGCCTCGGGGTCGGGGTGCATGGCCCCGTAGCCCACGGTCAGCTGCGTCTCCAGGGCGAACGAGAATGCGGCGAGCAGCCCCGTGAGCCGCCGCACGCACACGGCGCCCGAGGGGGGCGGGGGGCCCAGGTCGCCGTGCAGCAGCGCCAGCGCGTACCAGGCGAGGCCGAACAGGAGCCACGAGAGCGTGAAGCTGGCGGCGAACGCGAGCAGCACCAACCCCCAGCGCAGCTCCAGCAGCCACGTCCACAGGTCGCCGAGGCGGCGCAGCGCGGCGCGGGGACCCCGCGGAGCCCAGCGCCGGCGGCTCGAGCCGTCCCGGCCGATCAGACGGCCGCCGCCGCCCCCCCCGGGGACGCCGTGGGGCCGGTGTCCGCCTGGGGAGGGGGGAGCCGGGGCCGGCCTCCACGGCCAGGGACACAGGCGCCGCAGGCGACTGGGTCGAGTCACCGACTCGCTGCTTCTCATCCGGGTCGGGGGTCTTCTCGGCTTTGCCTGCACTGCGAGTCTGGCTCGCTGTGGTGTCAGTGCCCCGTCTAGGTTGCACGCCCTGGCGACAAATTTAACATAATAAAATACAATTCTCACGACGTTTCGGCCACAACGCAAGCAGCCGTCCTCAGGTGAAGAACAGGTCTGTCGGGAAGACGGCGTCTGAATGAAACACCACCAGGCTTGGCAGCGTATATTTAAGCTGGGTTGGAGGGGGGAAGGGGCGCCTTGACAAAGGAATCTGCATATCAAGAGGAATTTAGACACGGGGAGACACGCTGAGACACAGAGACACGGGGAGACACGCTGAGACACAGAGACACGGTGTGACACAGAGACACAGAGACACAGAGACACGGGGAGACACGCTGCGACACAGAGACACACAGACACGGAGAGACACAGAGACACGGTGTGACACAGAGACACGGGGAGACACGCTGCGACACAGAGACACACAGACACGGAGAGACACAGAGACACACAGAGACACGCTGAGACACAGAGACACGGGGAGAGACACAGAGACACATCGACGATGATGGTGATGATGGTGACGATGATGGTGATGATGGTGATGTTGACTATGGTGATGATGGTGACGATGATGGTGATGATGGTGATGTTGACTATGGTGATGATGGTGGCGATGGTGGTGATGGTGACGATGATGGTGACGATGGCGATGTATCCTGGTGGCGATGGTGGTGATGGTGACGATGATGGTGATGATGGTGATTGTACCCTGGTGGCGATGATGATGGTGATGATGGTGGTGATGGTGACGATGATGGTGACGATGGTGATTGTACCCTGGTGGCGATGGTGATGATGGTGACGATGATGATGGTGGTGATGGTGACGATGGTGATGGTGACGATGATGGTGACGATGGTGATTGTACCCTCGTTGCGATGGTGATGATGATGATGGTAATAATGGTGGTGATGGTGATTGTACCCTGGTGGCGATGGTGGTGATGGTGGTGATGGTGGCGATGGTGATGATGGTGATTGTACCCTGGTGGTGATGATGATGGTGATGATGGTGATGATGGTGATGATGGCGATGTACCCTGGTGGCGATGGTGATTGTACCCTGGTGGTGGAGATGGTACCCTGGTGGTGACGATGGTGATGATGATGGTGATGATGGTGATGATGGTGACGATGGTGATGATGGTGATGATGGTGGTGATGGTGGCGATGGTGATGATGGTGACGATGATGGTGATGATGGTGACAATGGTGATTGTACCCTGGTGGTGATGATGATGACGATGGCGATGTACCCTGGTGGCGATGGTGATGATGGTGATGATGGTGATGGTGACGATGATGGTGATGATGGTGATGGTGATGATGATGGTGATGATGGTGGTGGTGATGATGGTTGTGGTGATGGTAGCGAGTAGCAGCAGCACCTATGAAGGTAGACACAGACAAAGATCCCCCGTGTAGCCTCTACAGACTGCAGGGGCAAGTGCTGTTAGTAGCGAGTAGCAGCACCTATGAAGGTAGACACAGACAAAGATCCCACAACCACCACCACCACAACCACCACCACAACAACCACCACCACCACCCCCATCATCACCACCACAACCACCACAACCACCACCACAACAACCACCACCACAAGCACTACCACCACAACCACCATCACAACCACCACCACAACCACCACCACCACCATCACAACCATCACAACCATCACAACAACCACCACAACAACCACTACCATCACAACTACCACCACAACCACCACCATCACAACCACCACAACCACCACCATCACAACCACCACAACCACCATCACAACCACCACCACAACCACCACCATCACAACCACCACAACCACCACCATCACCACCACCACCACAACCACCACCATCACCACAACCACCACAACCACCACCACCACAACCACCACAACCACCACCATCACAACCACCATCACAACCACCACAACCACCACCACAACCACCACCACAACCACCACCATCACCACCACCACAACCACCACCACCACCCCCACCATCACCACAACCCCCACCATCACCACAACCACCACCACAACCACCACCACAACAACCACCACAACAACCATCACCACCACAACCACCAACCCCACCACCATCACCATCACCACCACAACCACCACCATCACAACCACCATCACCACAACCACCACAACCACAACCACCACCACAACAACCACCACCACTACAACCACCACCACAACCACCACCATCACAACCACCACCACAACCACCACCACCACAACCACCACCACAACAACCACCACAACAACCATCACCACCACAACCACCAACCCCACCACCATCACCATCACCACCACAACCACCACCATCACAACCACCATCACCACAACCACCACAACCACAACCACCACCACCACAACCACCACCACTACAACCACCACCACAACCACCACCATCACAACCACCACCACAACCACCACCACCACAACCACCACCACAACAACCACCACAACAACCACCACCACCACAACCACCACCCCCACCACCATCACCATCACCACCACAACCACCACCACAACAACCACCACCACCACAACCACCACCACCACAACCGCGATGAGAATTTCTCACCTCGGGTTGCAGTTCACACGAGGCGGCAGGAGCAGCTGCTGCTGCTGCCTCGTGACGTCACGCGGCACAGGCCGTGACGTCACTTCCGGGATTCAAGTTCAAGTTTTCGGTGTCGCCCCGGGAGCCATTCGGCTCTTGAATCGGGTGCAACGGCAACAAACAGGAAACATGAACACGCACTAGAAACATCTTAAAGTGAATACTCCCCTCCCGCAACGAGCGGCTCTGTAACTTAAATAAATTATGTTAATGAGCCCCCAGTCACCGGGCGTGGCTTTGCCCAAATAAGGATTGGCACTGGGACGGAGGTGACGTCACGCCCAAGAGCTTCGCGGTCGGGAGTGGGTGACATGACGTCACTTGCGAGGCACACCGCCCCCTGGCGTTTGTCGCCGATGAGGTCACGCTGCGCGGTGACGTCAGAGAGCGGGGTCAGAGTTCAAGTTTGTCGTTGTTGGCAGTGACGTGGTGAGCGCTGCGCTCCGCACCGACCAGCCGAGTTCCATTCCCGCTCGTGGCCAACGCCGCCAGTGGCCACTTTCTGAGCCGGTCCTGAGCCTCCCCTACGTCGACTCAGCCTCAAACGAGTACCCGGTGCGGTGTGTCAACATCGCCAGCACTGGGGAGACAAAGGCGGCCGGGCGTGGTGCTGGCCACCCACCCCCTCGTGTGCCGTCCCACCCTTAATAGGTGCTCGCTAACAGCACTTGCCCCTACAATCTGTGTGTTGGGAGCAAGTTTGAGTGGCGTGTAGTCGTGGGAGTTGAACGGGCGCCTGCTGCTACTGACAGTCGTTGACTGCGGTGGGACAGACGCTGATAGACAGACACACACAGACAGACAAGACAGGCGGACAGACACAGACAAGAGGAACACAGAGACAGAGAGACGACATAGACACAGAGAGAGGCAGAGAGAGACACACAGAGGCGAACAGAGACAGAGGGACTGAGAGATGTTGAATCGAACACACTGAACTCGCTCCATTGACAGAGATTCCTCGATCTTTGCCCATCCCCGGAAGTCGTTCTAGTTTCTATTTCCCTGTGTGGTGTGTAGTGCAAGCAGTGTGGGATATCGATGTACACAGATATGAACAAGATCAGCAGACAAGACGTCTTTCATTTAACAGTGTCTCCGCGAAACAAAGGAATGTTTTACACAAAATATAATTACTGCAGCATTCAGTGCAAGTCAACTGTGGACCGGTTGTGGTGTACAATTTATACGTAAATATACAAGCACACGACTTCATTTATCTGTGACGAACGCTGCACTTTCCATCGCTTTCATGCAGGGGGCGATGCAAACCTACGCGCCCCCTGCATGAACGACGGAGGCGCAGGGACAGACGTTCGATCGCGTTGGAATCGATCTGCAGACGGCGGTCTTCTGGCACGGCCAGCAGCTCTGTGTCGCCTCATCTCAACCCCGCGACCCCAACCAGTTGAAAGTCCGCATCAAACAGAACCCCGGCAAGGCCATCTACTTCACGACGAGAGAAAATTCATACTAAATGTCGTTTTCAATGAAGTCTTCCAGATGTAAAATAACAAGCTTTTAATGAATAAACACAATCATCAAATTCAAAACATAATACAATTCAAAGTTGTTTCATTTTCAAACTTTAAAACGGAGCATCGGGAGTTTGCGTGGATGCGTCGTTCGTGTGCAATTTTTTCGTGACTTTCCTGGCCCAAGGCCGTGAATGGTCGTGAGGGGGCTGCAGGCGGTCAGGCTTGCTTCAACCCCATGGTTGTGAACATCCAGACGTTAATCAGCAAGGAGCATTTCTTATTCTAATTCGACAAAATCTACGTCAACACATAATACAAAATTATAATTCGTGTTGTAGAGAATCTATCTCCTCTACGTGTAACTTTTAAGTGGTATGCCTTGTAACTGATGAATGATCCGAGCGTGCTCGCTATTTCAAAGACAATGAGTTGCTGCTCCAGAGGGAGATGTTTCCTGAAAACACAAAAATACCCTTTGACCTGTATCACAAGCACAATGAGTCTCACCTGAGTTATCTGTACAGGTTACTTGCAAAACACACACTGTGTCATAACATCACTTATTCAATGTTTGACCCTTATAGACAAAAGGTTACATGTACGCACACCATCAGACAAGTATTCAGTCTAAATTATTGACAGGCATAAGAACAAAATTGAATGACTGCACTGAAATATGCTTTATTAGTTTACATCCTATTAACAAGAAGCTAATTTAAAAAATACGCACCGTCTGCTTAACAGTGTATGTACAACATACTAATGCACCATTCAAAACGAGTCGGCCATTGCATGCTGGCATCTGGGTAAAAATGTAGCAAATTCTAAACATTACCTACAAACTCCACAACTGAGATGCCACATCAACCATCGCCCCCCAGACAGGCTCTTGTCCACACGCAGGACGGTGCAGGGCCACCACCTTGTGCCACACAGGGGCAGCTGCCACTTGGGGATGTTTCGAGTGTTTGAGACGAGATACGATGCAAAACTCAGAGTTGCAGAGGCGATTAAGCAAGCACCATATAAATGCAATTATGATGAGAACAGAGTGAATGCTTGGGAGCTTATTGGCTCTCGCTCCTGGTTAGAGATCTACCCAACACACAGGTCCACAAAGACTGGCCGCTCTTACCCTGCAGGTTGAATCTAGGAATTGGGTGTTCAACTTCACATTCTTGTCATTAAAGGCCTGTAACAAGGGTGCATCTATTGGAGCGGCATCGCCACTGGCTTATACATCTACCGGGTCTCCATTTGACTTTGTATTGTCTCGGAGGAAGTCCACCCACACCTCCACTTCCACAAACTGCTGCTGGGAGTTGCCTCGCTCTGCCTCACAGTCAGAATTCTCCTCCTGCTTCACGTTGCCTCCATCGATGTGAAGGTCACATTTTGGAGTTGAATCTTCATCTTCACATTTTACCTTCACTTCTTCGCTCTTCACCATCACTTCTTCACATTTCACCTTCACCTCTTCATATTTCACCTCGTTACCTTTAAAAGTGTCCAAGCTGGGATTTTCTTCCAGTTCTTGTTTGATGACAGATGGGCTCATTGCAGCACTTTGACTTGCACAAGCTGATTTCAGACTCCACTCCTGGTGGACCTTCTGATGCTTGCGTGATCTCTGGTGTACATGAAGATTTGGTGAACATGCAAATGCCTTCCCAAATGGAGTGCACCTGAAGGGTTTCTCTCCCGTGTGTGTTCTCTGGTGTTTTACAAGAGAAGATGACTGTGCAAATGCCTTCCCACACACACTGCACTTGAAGGGTTTCTCTCCCGTGTGTGTTCTCTGGTGTTTTACAAGAGAAGATGACTCTGCAAACGCCTTCCCACACACACTGCACTTGAAGGGTTTCTCTCCCGTGTGTGTTCTCTTGTGTGTTACAAGAGCAGATGACTGTGCAAATGCCTTCCCACACACACTGCACTTGAAGGGTTTCTCTCCCGTGTGTGTTCTCTGGTGTTTTACAAGAGAAGATGACTCTGCAAACGCCTTCCCACAGACACTGCACTTGAAGGGTTTCTCTCCTGTGTGTGTTCTCTGGTGTGTTACAAGAGTAGATGACTGTGCAAATGCCTTCCCACACACACTGCACTTGAAGGGTTTCTCTCCCGTGTGTGTTCTCTGGTGTATTACGAGATGATGTAAAACAGAAAACACCTTCCCACACAGAGTACACTTGAAGGGTTTCTCTCCCGTGTGTGTTCTCTGGTGTCTTTTAAGAACAGATGAATGTGCAAACGCCTTCCCACACACAGTGCACTTGAAAGCTTTCTCTCCCGTGTGTGTTATCTGGTGTGTCTTAAGATTATATGACTGTGCAAATACCTCGTCACACACACTGCACTTGAAGGGTTTCTCTCCCGTGTGTGTTCTCTGGTGTCTTTTAAGAGCAGATTGCCATGCAAATGCCTTCCCACACACAGTGCACTTGAAGGGTTTCTCTCCTGTGTGTGTTCTCTGGTGCTGTGTCAAATTTCCAGTCCGCTCCGTGCTGTATCCACGCTGGTCGCATTGTTGCCTTGCCGTACCGAGCTGTGCTGAGTGCCTTTGCTCCATCAGACCAATTCTGCAGAGGAAGCGTCAGAGGAAGCGTCAGCTGCAGACAGAAAAAAAGAATATGCACACCATCTACACGTCAGTATCGAGGCACAGATGAATGCAAAAACACAGTCACACGTGACTTACACGTCTATACTTATTCATATATTCATGATGTAGTGAAAAAGTTTCCCAAATTCATCACAGAGGCTGTTATTGCACACAATGAGAGGGCAAATGGTCATAAAAATGCCTGGAAGCCCTCGTATCTCCGTGGTGAGATGTTAACTACCTCACCTGGTATACAGAAAGTCGTGGGTTCGATCCAGACCCTGACGCCTGCTGCTGTATATTTGGAGTTTGCGTGTCTCTCTCTCTCCGTGGTGAGATGTTAACTACCTCGCCTGGTATACAGGAAGTCGTGGGTTCGATCCCGACCCTGACGCCTGCTGCTGCTGTATATTTGGAGTTTGCGTGTCTCTCTCTCTCCGTGGTCGCGTGGATTTTCCTCCGAATCTCCCGGGTTTCCCCTCCACATTTAGAGTCAACATCAGCACGCGTGCAGCGTCTTTAACCGATACACATTTCCACACGTATTCTTGGTTCTTTCGGTAAAGTCACGTAGATAGACAATAACAGATAATAAAATCAAACAAAGGCAACGTGTGTTGCGATCGAAACGTCGTGGGGTTTTATTTATTTATTTACAATTTGTTTACTTTTAGTAATTTTATTATCTGTTATTTTTACTAAATTTTCTATCTCCGTGACTTCACCAAAAGAACCAAGAATATGAATTGCTGCAGTTACGAAAGTTTAAAGTCAAAACATTGACACACGCGTTGACAAAACCCACCTTGTGTCGTGGGCAGGTAGCTTCTATAAACAAGAGCGGTACAGCAGCTCAGGCGGGCTTGGGCTGGAAAAAAAACGAAAAAAAAAACTGCGTTAATATCTACAATAAACCAAAGTGACAAAGTAGCGAGCCGCGTGAAGACAAATTAA